AATTAATGATGTGGGAGCCAAAGGGGACCGTTGCTGGAAGAATCATCTTATTAGGCGCAGAGGGATGGACTCTGTGCCAAGGTGGGTGGCCGGCCTTGCACAGGAGCATGGACGGCCCAGCTGCAGGAAGCAGAGGGCAGGCGGGGGTGTGGCCGGGATAGTGGGAGCAGGTGGCAGGTCTTGGCGGAGAGTTCTCTTTTTTCAGGGAAATAGGAAGTGGGCCACCAGATGAGATGGAGGATGGGGGGCTTGAGAGAGAGGGTGGGAGGGAGGGACAGCGAATGGACAGGGAAGTGTTTGTGGTTTCCCAGGCTCCCGAGGTCCGGAGCAGAGTGTAGATTTAAAGTGAGCCAGTCAGAGACGTGGCATGTGTCCTTCAGCTCTATGCAGACCCCCAGAGCTCGGGGGAGAAAGTGGAGGGTTGCAGCAGGGTAGGGAGTTGAGAGTGTGCGTAAAGGAGGGGTTGGTAAGAGGGACCTCTGCATCTTTGCTGGAGGAGGTAAGCGAGGCCAGGAGGGGAGTGAGGGATGTGAAGAGATGGACTAGTCCCGCAGGTTGCAGAATCCTGGGCGTCAGGGTGCTGCAGGGAGTGACAGGAGGTGACAGCTGGACCTGGGGTGGTTGGAGGGTACTCTTGAAGATGCTGCAGTTTCTGGTAGCAATGTGGTCTGCGATAGACCATGGGAGTGAGAAGGCCATGACCTTCAGGAGAAGAGGTCAAATAATTGAGAGGGCAGGGGCAGGAGGGAAATGATGGCAGGAAGGACAGTGACAGTGATGGTGGTGGTGCTAAACCCGCTGAGGGATGAGGGGGCAGTGACCATCACAAGGTGGGTGGTGGGGTGTGGTCTGAGGGCTGGTGGTGAGGATTAAGTGATATTATGTACCTACAGGGGCACACAGTAGGTACTTAGCGAATGGGAGCTGCTTTCATTAATCCAGTTACGATGATGTTCACATGGTTCCTGGCCTGGTCACAGGACAGAACCTAAAACCAGGAATGTGCCAGAACATGTGGGGCGGGATTTACACGCTCGTTTCTAGCAGGTGTGGTGCCGGCAGGGCCTGCTTAGTCTCTTTCTGCAGGACCCAGACACCCTGCTCTCGGGTGTGGTCCCACCAGGCCTCTCAAGAGCAGGAAGTGGGGGGGAGGGGGACGACAAATGGGCAGACGGGAGTTTGGGCCGAGCACAAGGACACGGGCCTGTCCTGGGGTCACGAGCAGCCCCTGAATGTCACAGTGATGTCTGGTGCGTTCCCTGCGCCAGCAGGCCCAGGTCCCTCACTCCTGACTGGGTGGTAGGAGCATGAAGGTGGTGAGTGGGGTGTGACCGTGGGTGTTGGGGTAGACACCCCAGAGGTGAAGGCTCCCAGGGCAGCCCCTAAATTTCAGGCCTGGGAACTTCCTGATCAGTGGCTCTGAGCAGCTGGGGACACATGAGGGGAACAGGGCCCCTCCACTGGGGTGCCACAGCCGTCTTCAGTGGATGCTTGCTGCCTTTGCTGCCTGCCGTGTGCTAGCCATGCTGTTAGAAGCACCAAGTTCAGACCCTTATTGCCTGTGTGAGCTGCGGCCGGCACCGCCCCCCGAGCCTGTTCCTCAGCTGTTGGAAGGCATCACCTTCCAGGCAGAGCACCCGGGAACGTGGATGACAGCGAAGCGCCTGGGAAAGTTTATGTGTTAGGACGCCGCAGGCCCCGTTTCAACCCGGGGTTCAAGTCCTTTCTTAGGAAAGCTTTTGCTAGGAGCTACGGTTATGTTGAGTGTCGATCCTTCTGAGTGCGTCGGATGTGTTTTCTGAGCAGTTCAGGCATTCATTCACACATACGTGCATCCATGCTCCCGGTCAGTGGGTCTTTGCTGCCGACTCCACGCTGGGCAGGGCCATTAGAATGGCCAGTGATGCTGGTCGGAGGGAAGTGACGCAGCAGCTCCAGCAGCTTCCCCTGGGCTCCCGACACCTGGCCAGGCAGGGCTGACCAGGGTGCTGGTCCTGCTGAGCGAGGCCAGTGTGGTTTGCACCCGAGTAGGCAGGGCGCTGCACACAGTAGGTGCTCAGTGACAGGACACAGGGGGACTGCCTGGGAAATCCCCGGAAGCCTCTTACCTGGCCAGTGTCCAGCTCCGCCCCCACCTCAGCTTCCTTCCGTCCTTAGACTATTGCTTCTGTGAAGCAGCCAAGTTCACAGCCCAGGGAGTTTAACCATGGCCGCCTCATGCCCATCCCAGAAGTTGTGTAGCCTCTCCGGGCTGTGGTGACTGGCTGGTCCGAGAGCTGGAGACAGAGGCAGTGTCTTCATCGGGCACACAGCCCCACAGGACGGCACCTTATTCCGGGCCCAGTGGCTGAGTGGGGGCGGGTGCCCCTCAGGGTGGGCTGTGCGGGGAGCCCTGTGGGCCGAGGGAGAGCACGCAGTCCCCTCGCCGAGGGTCCCATTGGCTGTGCTCCAGAGGAGCAAGGTAATAAGGAGCAACTTCCACTTACCGTCGGTATAAATCCCACAATCAGGAAAATTGCTTCAATTGCTAAAAACGCTGGTGGAAAAGTCCATTTATTTTTCATTTTTCTTGTGCACTTGCCACCCTCACGCATGAATCACTGTCGGTTTGTAGATTAAATTTATACCCCGTTATCTTTCACGTCGCTGGGGCGCTGGTGTCAACTGGGTTTCTGGTTACCGAAAGCCACTGTCTGCCTTGTGGTGGCGAGAGTGGCCCGCTCTGTCTGTGGGTGGCCACTGGGCGGGGGGGTCTCCTTTCTCCTAGTCTCCCCACAGGCCCCCTTCAGCCCCTGCCCCTCCATCTTTTGGCTGCAGGGAAGACTTGCTTTTGGAAAGTCCGGTTCTCAGGAGCTGCTCTGCCGCGGCGCTCGCACCTGGATTTGGGTGCTTTACTTAGGGTTTGCAGTGAGCATGGCGCAAGGGCTCCTGTTATTTTGAACACCTGCTTTGAGAATTGGCCTGGACTGGATACAAACACGATAGGCATTTTGAAAACATGCTCTGAGAACACATACTATACAGGCTTCCTTCCTCTCTGTTCCCCCAATATCTCTCTCTCTCTCTCTCTCTCTCTCTCTCTCTCACACACACACACACACACACACACACACTCACACACACACACTCACAGGATAGAGCCGGTGCCTGCCTGCTTCCCTTTTGAATGCAGGCAATGTGGTTAGATGGCAGGTGTTGAGAAGCCTGGTTCTCACCTGTGTCCTGGAAGGTACAGAACTGTCTAGAACTGATAGTATACTTTGTTCTCCATGCTCACATTTAGCCATTTCTGTGCATATCCTCTGAAAACATGCTTGTTTATTCTCAGATTTATGATTCAACAAATGCTAACTCTATTTTTCGGGATTGGACCCCTTTGAGAATCTGTTGGAAGCCCAAGTCCCTCTCTGGATGCACAGTTTTGGAAAACTTGAGGATGGTTTGAAGAGCCCCATCCTGCTCGCTGTAGAGACCTGCTCCATGCACCCCCTTCCTGCCCCTAAGAAAACCCTGAGCCATCCCAGGAGCTCAGAGCTCTGCAGTCCTCCCAAGCCAAACGCCTCAGCCCCTCACACCCCAGCACCCTTCCCAGACCTTGTCTCAGAAGAGCAGTCCCCTGGGCCACACTCCTGGCTCTCTCAGGGTTACCCATCTAGACTTAGAGACCCCCCCAATTCTCTCTGTGACATGTCCTGGGAGGGGGACTTCTGAAGCCACAGCTGGCTCGCCTGCTCCAGGCCCTCAGCCCCCAGCAGGTATCATTACTGCATAAGAGACCCATCATTCTGCATTAATCTGGGATTCATCATGATAGCCATGACCATAATTAATTTATTTGGTATTAATGTGGATGAAATATGTACTGTCCTTTCAGGGGAAATCAGGCTGCCTATAAGCATTAGTTAAAAGGACCATTAAAATCAAACCTTCCCCAGATCCATTAGGCGAAGTCTTTCATCCTGAAGAAGATAAAGTTGTGCTGTGTGAAATGTCATGAATAATTAGGTTGATTGCTGTTTTAAACTCTGCCCCTGCCTCCCCACCCCTCCCGCCTCCCTCCTGAAGCGGGGGAGGCTCACCTGTAGCGGAGTGGCCCCCTCCATCGCCCATGTCTGTACTGGCCCCCAAGTCCCTGCTGACCTCTATGGCTGCTCGTGTGGCCTGTGTGTCTGTGGCTAGAATGGGGAAAGGAGCTTAAAGGACCCCCGATGGGCTGTTGTATACATCTCCTCCTTTCCTAACTGGGCCCAGAGTGGCTGCAGGTGCCTTCCTCTTGCCTCAGTGCTGGTCCGGAGAGGGGTAGACCAGGGAGGAGTCGGAAGTGGCATTTTCCAGCCAGAGACTCCCTGCCCTGAATGGCACAGGGATATGAACATGCAGCTTCTGGGCCCACCCTGGACCACATCCCAGGGGCTGTGCATGGGAAGGGGATGGAGGCTGGCACGGGGGCGAGGAGGTATGGTTGTGCAGGATGGAGGGGCGAGGCAGGAGAGGGAGGGGAGGGCCCTGCTCTGCTGCCCAAGTGCAGTGCCTGGCACTCCAGGGGGGACATGCACGTGCTCTCTCCCTGCCACACGGGCTCCTCCTGCGGGAGCGCGGGAAGAGGAACTTTTCCAGCTGCCTGATGCTCACCAGTATGAGCACAGCAGTGGCCCCTGGGCTGGTCTTCTAGGCCTCACCACAGAGTTGGAGAAACCAGGAGGCGGAGGGTGAAACGGCCTGCCCGCAGGGGACATAGACACTCCTCCGTTGGGTGAATTGATGGGTGGACAGTTTGGAGCCCTGGGGTGTCATGTCAGCTTTTGAAAGGCACTGGAGAGACTAGTTCTGATCCAGCCCCTTTATTTTGTGGTTAAAGAGCTCAGACACAAAGCAGTGAGGTCAGTTAGAGGCTGGGGGACCAGATGGTAAGCACTGGGTGGTCCAGGAGAGGGGCTGATGGGAAATGGGAGGAAACCATTAGCCCCCTGTGCCCTAATCCTTTCATGCTGTCCTGACAGGCGCTTCGGCACAAAATGCACGGCCTGCCAGCAGGGCATCCCCCCGACCCAGGTGGTCCGCAAGGCGCAGGACTTCGTCTACCACCTGCACTGCTTCGCCTGCATCATCTGTAACCGGCAGCTGGCCACGGGGGATGAGTTCTACCTCATGGAGGATGGGCGGCTGGTGTGCAAGGAAGACTATGAGACGGCCAAGCAGAACGGTAGGTGGCACTGCCCTGCAGTCCCCTCCAGGCATTTGTTCAGGCTGGGCCCTCTGAGTCCCTCAGAGCCCTGCTCACACCTGCCTCCTGAGATCCGCCCCACATCTCAACAGGGAGTTAATTCTCAACATCCCCAGTCCTTTAGCGCAGCGGTTCTCAACCTGTGAGTCGCGACCATTGGAAAACACATATAGCATATCAGATATTTACATTACGATTCATAACAGTAGCAAAATTACAGTTATGAGGTAGCAACGAAAATAATTTTATGGTTGGGGGTCACCACAACATGAGGAACTGTATTAAAGGGCCACGGCATTAGGAAGGTTGAGAACCACTGCTTTAGCACTTGCTGGTTCATGGCAGCTTTAAGCAAGTATGGTTAGTGAGTGCACCGGTCGTCCACACTGGGCTCAGGAGCAGCCAGGGGCCGCGTGTCATTATCTGGGTGGCTCCTGCCTGGGGCGGGGCTGGGAGGGTGTTCCGCCTACAGTGGACACTTGGGCGTACTCCTTGGTCTTGTATATTGGGGGGCATACTTACCTCAGCACCTATTGGCCTATCACTTTGGACTCCAGTCAGCTGTGCTCCATTTCCCCTCATGAGGTAAGGACTTAGGGGTGAGGACCCCTCATGTCTCCTGAAGCCCCGATGCAGGAGCCAAGTGCTTACTGAGCCAGTGTCCACACTCAGCCGCGGAACTCCCCCCCGCCCCCACCTTCCCCAGCCTCCTGAGAGTCATTGTCCAGGGTCTGCAGCAGAAGCCCAGGCTGACATTGATGTCAGGCCCAGCATTTCACACCTGGAAAACCTGCCTTCACGTGGGCAGATGGGCAGCAGCTGCTCCTGCCCTCCAATGCCATGTTCTGGGGCAGCCCCGAGCCTTTCCAGGGCCTAGACTGGGCTTGGACCCCCATTCCTCCGAGCTCCCCTCAGGAAGGCCAAGCCCAACACTCCCCTCCTGCAGCCCTCCTTGGGCTCCTCACACATGGCTGTGTCCACAGGGGGTGTGCCCTCCACTGGCTCCAAATAGGGCATCTGGCCAAACCCAACCTGGGCATCTCAGATGCACAAACTCACAAAACACCAAGGTTGTTTGCCTTTGACTAGGATTTCTATCAGCTCAGGGTATCGCTGTGGAAAGCGGCTCTTGTTGACAGCTCTGGGCTTGATGGAGAAAAAAATAGCAACAACAGTGTATCTCCTTCTAGAGCTTTCCTGGGCCCCCACACACGTCATAGAGATCTGATCACTACATGGGGAAATTAGTTTTCTGCTCTGTATATGCAGTTTGAAATGAAGGGTGTGCGGTGGTGAGGAGGCAGAGGTAATCTCGGGGCTAGCCGGCTGGAGCCGAGCCTGGCTTTGGTGGAAGGTGGGAAGGGGTGCTGAGTCAGGGGCCTCCTCTCTCTCTTCCCACCACCCCCAGCTCGGCCTTTTGGGGTGTACAGGCCTTCAGTCTCTCTTTTTGGGGCCTCTGTAAGCCCATTCTAGGCTCTTTGCTTTAATGGATTTATCTGCTCTGGTTCCTTAAAACTCACTCGATGCTGTTGCTTTGAAGTCAATTATGATGTCACAGAAGATTAGGGCGTCTTGTCAGGGATAAACCATCAGAGCAGATGGACTGCGGGTCCCAAGCTGCCGTTGGAGCGCTGATGCCCTTCAGCAGATACCGAGTCTGCACGGCCTCCCCCGGGGCCGGCTTGTTGTCAGAGGCCTCGTTCGGGCCCCGAGCACACCTGGCCTGGCGTCCTCCACTGCCGGTGGTGCAGGGAGGAGCTAACACTAAGCAGACCCGCAGGACCATGGAAAGACATGCAATTTAGCCTCAGAACCTGGGGGCCTCACTGCTGGGTCACTCTCAAGTCAGGGTCCCTTCTCAGCTCTCCAGGGGGGACCATAGCACCTGCCACATAGGGCTGTTTCCTGAGCTTAAATAGGAGAAAGCATGCAGAATGGGATGTTAAGTGAGGGTGAGACCAGCATGGAGGAGAAATGCGAACAGGGAGGTGCGATCTGCTTAGGTTCTCAAGGAGCTGAAGGCTACATAGTTCTGACGGGTTCCTCTGTCTCCGCCGGCAGTGAAGCTGGGGCCATGCCAATCCATCCTGTGAATTCGGGGTGATGCTGAGGGCAGCAGGGAACTTTGTCTGCTCTGGGACATTTGGCTCTTTTTATGTTTTAATTCCTCCTTGCTAAGCTACACCCTCTTTCAGGCTTACAGTTCCCTCCCTTGTGCTACACAAAGGATCTGATATCAGCTGTTTGTACTTTAGTGTGAATGATTTTGTTCATTTGTTTTACCACCCTGGATATCTGCATTTTCAATATGATGAGGTTGTGTTTTGTGCCAGGGACAAGTGCTAAGAGACCCTGAATAATTCAAAACTAACCTATTTTAAGGCTAATTTTCCCATAGGAATTAATGTAAGAAGTAAGGGAGGGATGTATTCTGGGAGCACATAAATCCATAACCGGTGAGATGTATCTTTGCCTTAATGCTACTTTTTATTTTCTCAGCACTGTTTCTAATACCTCGTAGAATGCTCTCTCCTAAATTAACAGCCCAGGGTATCATGGTCTTGCTTGGCCTTCTTCATAGCCTTTTATCACATTTAACTTCCGTACCAAAGTTATTGATTTTTGGGTGCATTTTTCAGCATGAGCACGGCCACCACTACTTAATGAATACTTGGATGACATTATTATAGGATATAAAGAAGATTTTAAATTATAATAACAGTGAATGTTAAAATAACAGCATAATAGTCCCCGTAATTGCAAGAAGAAGGTCCTGTGCAGGTGGACAGCAGTGCAGAAGCCATGCCCACCAGCCAGGATGACAGGGCGTATCCCAGGGGCACTGCCATCTGGTTGTGGTGAGAGCAATTTCTAATTCACTAGGGCAGCCTACTTTGACAGTAAGCAATTCTCAATGAATTAAAATTTTTTGGTGGTTTCACTATTTCAGATTTTATATATAAAGACTGTATAGGTATTTTAAAAGTGCACTATTTGATATCTGCTATCATGCTGGCATCTCTATAAATATGGGCAGAAGGCTTGATTCTCTAAAACAGAATTAAGTAGAGTTTTGGAGGTTTTCCTGTGTCTGCCACAGTGGCTCTGGAATCCTTCCACTCTGGGTTCAGGACTCCAGGGAGGGGTCTGGGTGGTGGGCTCTGGCCCATAATTTATGAACATTTGTAGATGACTGGTGAATGCGTGGGCCACCCCTGCAAGGGGCCCTGGAGGGAGGGACAGGGGCATGTGGGACAGCCCTGAACCCAGACTTTAGCTCCTTCACCTTCACAGCATCGGTCATACTCACAAGGAAGTCCACCAGAGTGTTGGGCATGACAGGAGATGCGTGGAATGGAACACTTCCAGTCTGATGGGAGGGGACAGGGAGGCCGGACGGGGGACAATGGTGTCCTTACTTTTAAGTCACTTCGGAAAGCCTGTGGTGCAGGAGTGGGCCACGCCACTCTGCCTCCCCACTGTTCTGCCCATAGCAGGCAAGATCACATGTGAGGAAAGGAGGTGGACAAGACCCAGGAGCTTCAGGTGGGCTGAACTCAACCAGTAAGGTTTTTATTGCAGATGACTCAGAGGCAGGAGCTAAGCGGCCCCGGACCACCATCACAGCCAAGCAGCTGGAGACCTTGAAGAATGCCTACAAGAACTCTCCCAAGCCTGCCCGGCACGTGAGGGAGCAGCTGTCCTCAGAGACGGGCCTGGACATGAGGGTCGTACAGGTGAGACACCAGCTACCTGGCCCAGTACTCATTTGCCGCTTAGGGATCCGGGGCCCAGTGACACTCCTGGGAGGCCCAGGGCCAGTCTGTGCCCTCTACATGGGAAGGCATGGGAGTGGTATACATACCGTGTCACTGATCCTTTTGGGGACTTGGGGCCATGATCCTGGGGAATTTGCCAAATTGGAGATATCTGAGGCTCAGGCAAAGGGAGCCATGGGCACAGTATACTCCTGTGGCCTTGAACTCCAGCCACCTGGGGGCTGTGGGGTTGGGGTGGGCATCCTCCGAATGTGTGCCTTGTGCTTGTGTGGCAGGTTTGGTTTCAGAACAGAAGGGCCAAGGAGAAGCGCCTGAAGAAGGACGCAGGACGGCACCGCTGGGGACAGTTCTATAAGAGTGTCAAGAGGAGCCGGGGCGGCAGCAAGCAGGAGAAGGAGAGCTCTGCAGAGGACTGTGGGGTTAGTGACAGTGAGCTGAGCTTCCGAGGTGAGCAGGGCTGGAGGGGCGAGGCGCAGTGATCCTTGACATCCAGGAGGGATTTTCTTGAGGCCTGGACAACTCCCTCCTGGACACAGGCTCCCCACTGCCCCTGGCAGTAATGGGTGGGGGAACATGGAGTGGCCCTGTAAGAAAACGAGAGAGTTCTGCTGCTGAGATGTGCAAGCTGGTTCCCTAGCACCGTGAGCCCCAAGGCCTCCCCTCCTGCTGACTGGGGCTCCCTCACCACCCTGTGCACCTGTGAACAGAGCCGGGTCTCAGTCTGTGCCCTCAGCCCCTCTGCAGGGGCCCTGGCTCCCTCCCAGGATTCCCTAGTGACCCCTTTCTCCACTCCTGATGGGGAGGACATGCTCCTCAGGCCCTGTGCCCTGGGAAATCACTACTGTGAGTGCATGTGAGATGGGGAGCAGCCTCACTTCTGAATCCCTTCCCCTCTGCGCACTTTATCCTGCCCCCGCCCATGCACAAATGCTTTGGAGCATGCGCTAAGTTCAAATTGGTGCATCAGCAAAATTGCAAATGACTGTGTTTTGAGTCCTTATGTTGTTTGCAAATAGCCGTAACTATTCTCCTAGCCCGAGTCCTCAGAGCTGGGGTCAGAAATTGGGTTTCCAGTTGTGGCTCTGTCACATGGATCACTTTTTGAGCCTCAGTTTCCCCACCTATAAGTAGGGAATAACCACATCCTTGCCCATCTCACAGTGGTGTTGTGGGGAGTCAATGAACACAAATGACTCTGGATGTGTTTGGGAAAAACCCAGCAGATGTTTAGCCTTGGAAGGGACGATTGTCCCCACGGGGAGCCTGTGGCTCCCTCAGAGAGCCCTGGTTCTCTGGGATGACAGGTATATGCAAAAGGCCAAACACTGGCCATTTTACGGTGAAGCTGAGCTTTCACCTTCCTGCCCCTTTAAAGAGCCTGGATAGGAACTGATGCACAGGCCCAGGTGGGGAATAGAGAAGTCTATGGGGCAGAGGATAGAACAAGCTTCTCACCTGAGGGGATGGTAGCTCAGCCTAGAGGTCTGTCCTGGGGCTCCGGGATGGCTCAAGGGCCTCATGCTCACCTCCTAGCCCTCTTGGCAGGGTTAGGAAAGCCACTTCATCTCATTTGAGCTGCTGGAATCCATGTCGGGAACATACAGGATTGCCAGGTCTCATTTTGTAGCTCCTTTCTTTTGGGTGCAGGTGGGCTCCCAGGGTGACATATCATTGCTCTCTCCGGGTACTTATGTATTTCTTAAGATTAAAACGGCCACCTCTGTTGGAGAGGTGACTTCTTCCAGGTGGCAAAGATCCTGTTAGATCCCCTTAGTGAAATTCTCTAAGAAACAAGGTCCATTTGTCTTAATCAAGTCAACACTGGCCCCAGTGAAGACTGTATTAGACAAACTAAGTCATTTGCTATTGAATCTCTCCCAAGTAGACCAGAAGAACAGTGTACACATGTCTAAGAGTGGTCCTCAGCTACCCTTACCATATGGGCCTGCTTGTTTCCCAACCAGCCAACCCAAGCACATTACTTAGCCTGAAAGCTTTCAGATTAAATCTTGTCAGCACGGAGTTTCCTCAGTGTAGCCAGAGTATCTTAGTTCATGAGTGACATGGGACCAACACACTCACCAAACACTGTCCAGACTTTTGGGTCCCAGAAATTTAGTCTCTGCAGGTGTTTCTTCTATTTCCCTCCCTTGATGTGGGTCAGTCTCGGGCTGACACAGTGGTGTTTGATCCCTGCTTGGCAGCTGTCATCCTCGGGTGTATTCCTACCTAGGTTGTAAAGAACAGGAACATTGGAATCCTGTTAGCTGACAATAAATCTCCGTTCTTTTGTCCACAGAGGATCAAATTCTCTCAGAACTTGGCCACACCAATAGGATTTATGGCAACGTGGGGGACGTTACAGGTGGACAGTTAATGAATGGGAGCTTCTCCATGGACGGGACAGGACAATCCTATCAGGACTTGAGGGATGGGAGCCCCTATGGAATCCCCCAGTCTCCATCTTCCATATCGTCCCTGCCGTCCCACGCTCCTCTGCTCAATGGGCTGGATTACACAGTGGACAGTAATTTGGGCATCATTGCGCATGCAGGGCAGGGAGTGAGCCAGACGCTGAGAGCCATGGCTGGGGGGCCCACCTCTGACATCTCCACAGGAAGCAGTGTAGGCTATCCCGACTTTCCAACTAGCCCAGCCTCTTGGCTCGATGAAATGGATCATCCTCCGTTTTAAACATCTGTCCTCCCCACCCTACCTGTCCTTCTGGCTTGAGAGAATATCTTCAAGGATCAAAAGAGACTTACCTTTTTAGGATCAAATGCGCACCAATGTGAATTTCCATTATTTTCAATGGAAGTCCTCTGCTGATCCCTAGGAGGTCACCGCACTAGGGTGCTGTTTTCCTGGGGAAATGGTGGGGGAGCAGCCTCCTCTCAACAGCACAGGGCGCAGAGCCTAGAGCGCTAGGGTGCTGGCTTATGCTCCCTCCCCCACCCTGCTTACAGGCTTTGGCTGCTCAGTGCTTGGCAGCAGGAGGCAACTGTGAGGCCACCCTGGCCTTAGGGAACTCTGCTCCAACTGGTATGTCTCATGAGATGCTTCCCACACCAGTGCTCTCGCCAGAACTGAGATTCTGGTGACGTCACAGCCCTTAAATATAAGAAAAGTGATTTCTGAACCACCCTTATCAAACCTTAATTTTCAAAATAAAAAAGGTCACTTACTAAAGGTCAGTAGAAACTTTGATGGCCACAGTTTGATATAGAGACATGCCCCTCCTTTCTCTTCTGCTGTGAAGAATGACCTCTTCCCTCTCCAGAGAATATCTGTCAGTTGGGGTTTGTGAGCAGTCCCATCAACATCACTGAATCCATCCCTGATGGCAAGAAGTGGTTTTCGTTGCAGGTGACTCTGAGGCTGGAGCTGAGTGGCCCTGGACCATCACAGCGACTGCCCGACGAGTCCCCTTGGAGCACAATGTGCCTTTTTAATTTGCTCATATCACTTATTCCACTAGACAGGCTGTGGCTTACACAACGATCAAAGCTAAAATATGGAGAGACCAGAAAGACAATCAGTGAGAACATTTGTAGACCCATTTGGATTCCAAGCGTGTAGTCCATTTAGCCAAATCAGCAGATGCCAGTCTCCCAGAGTCCCCGCTCCTGCAGGGGAAATGATATTGTGAGTTTGTTTTGAGGTAGTTGGTTTAGATGAGTTTGCAAGTCCACACCCACCTACAGCCAACCCTCCCTAGCCCTTTAAAAAGGAGAGCTTTCTCTGCTGTGCTAGCTGACTCAGTTGGAGGACAGTCTTGGCCTCTTCCAAGTACTAGCAATGCTTTTTGGCTGGGAGCAATCATTTAAGGAGCAGCCCTAAAGTTGTCAGAGTTCCAAGTGGTCCTTGGGCTGCATCTCCCTGGGTTGCTGGCTGGCCTCACACCAGGCTGTGGTGCTCCAGCCCTGCACTTGCTCAGAAAGGGGAGCTCTCCAGCCAGTGGCAGTGCAGACTCAGCTTATGGGTTTCAATAGCACATCACCAAGCCCGAGGCAAGGGCAAGGCCAACCCCTGCTTTGTGAGCTGCCAGCCCTGTGACAGACTGCACTTTGGTGGGACATACCGTGGTGAAGGTGCCGTGGCTCCTACTTAATGCACCACCCCTCAACCTTGCAGGAGGTTCTCCATGTGCACACTGGAAATTAGCCAGGGGAATTTATGCGTCCCCTGGGAAATGGTGGTTTACTTCTCTGGCCTCCTGTTTTCTTAAGATCAGCAGAGTAGGGAAGGGTAAGAAAGGCATTACCTTTTTCACGTGAAGTGATGGGGCCCAAGACCCTAACCACCTTTTCTTTCATGTCTGTCACGTTTTGAAGGCCGCAAAGATTTAAGAGTGTGCTAGGTAGACTCAAGGAAGAAATAAACCTTCCTCCTTGGCTCCTGCATCTTCTGCAAATGCCTTCTGAGGACTAAACTACAGGCAGTTAAGCTTCTTCAAACTGTATAATCAGTAAATTCCTGGGGTCAGCCTTCAGGCCACCTTTCCCTGATCAGTTCTGTAGTGGACCCTTATTTTCCGACAGGCTGCAATTGTCGTGATTTTTGCTTGGGGAGTCCTGCAGATGCAGGATTTCTTCTTGAGGCTCCAGGATTAGGGATGCCAGAGGGTGAAGCCCAGACAATTCCCAATACAGTGAACAGTGGGGATGGCAATAAAGACTCACAAGAAAGGCACGTGCCGCAGTCTTCTGGGAGGACAGGTTCTTGAACATACTGTTCTCAGCAGGCAGCTCTCAGTGCACAGGAGGACTGTGTTGGGCAATGAACCAGTTAAAGACTGTCCCACCCAGACCACTGTCGCAGCTCCATTACTTGGCGTAGGAGCTCCTGGGATCTCAAGGTACTGCCTGCTTTTGGTGGTTACCAGGGGCAGCAGACTCAAGGAACATGGCCCTCTGGGTAGCACTGTTTCTTTAAGATCAGTTGAGCAGTTTTTGTTTTGTATCCAAGTTAATCAAGCTCATGCCTTATTCAATGGTTGGAGAACGTGCTAATAACAGTCTCCTGAGAACTCAGTGAGCGGGGCAGCTGGTGTTGGTGGGCTGCTTTGGTGTTGGTGGGGCTGGCTAGCTATACTGGCCACAAAGCTGGGAGAGCTGAGTTCCCCAGAGCCTCCTCCCAGAGAGCAGCAAACACTGGCGCTCCATGTAGAAGCACAGCCAGGCCAGGCCTCAGATTCTAAGTGGCTCTCCTTGCAAGTGCAGTTAGCATTCTAGAGGACTGGTGCCACCAGTGAGCCATTGCGTGCCAAGACTGTTCCTTGGCTCTTCTGTGGCTGGAGATGGTGAGCACACACCGTACCTTGAGAGCCTCCTCCATTGCTCAGCGGTGACTGAGGTATAAGGTGCCTCCTGGGAGCTGCTTTCTCTCTTGCTAAAGTGACACAGACACATTTGAAAAATGAAACAAGACCTTCTAGAGCAATTTACATCATTTGAATCTGTCTGTGGCTCTAAGAGAGCAATTACAAGTAGCAACGTTCATCTGAGCACCTGGCTGATCGACCTTGGGATAGGAAGTTTCTGAATTCAGGAGCAAAATAATTAAAAACCCAGCAACACCTAAGCTTCCAGTAGTAGCTGGTATAAGCAAAAATGGGACACACGGGGCTATGGGAGAATCTCTATTTTTAAAGAGTAATAAAACCACAGAAGAAATCCCCGATGCAAAGCTAAGCCAGCCCACCTGTTAAATCACATTATTGGGAAGACTGGTCCTGGCCCTTTCAGGGACTTGCTGTGCCACCTGAGGCAAACTCCTTTCTGTCTCTGTGCTTTCTTTTTCTCGCCTCAGCTAATAGTTAAGAATATAATAGAAAGTGCAAATCAACTACCATATTGATAATATTATTCCTGCAAATTAATACAGTGAAATGTCAGGGAAAGAGGACAAAATTAAGGCATAAGAAAAGCATTTAGCCCTAGCCAGTTTGACTCAGTGGATAGAGTGCTGACCTGCGGACTGAAGGGTCCGGGTTTGATTCCGGTCAAGGGCACGTACCTTGGTTGCAGGCTTGGTCGCATGCAGGATGTCTCTCTCTCACATTGATGTTTCTCTCTTTGTCTCTCCCCCTCCTTTCCACTGTCTAAAAATCAATGGAAAAAATATTCTTGGGTGAGGATTAACACCAAAAAACAACAAAAAGAAAAGCATTTAGCTGTGTTTTTAAGGTGTGTGTTTTTTTTTTGCCAATGCAAAACACGAAATCTAATAAGATAATTGAGGGCCATTCAATCTTCATAATTAAGTTCACTTTGCAAGAAGTAATCTGTAGATATGAAAGATACGACCACCTCTTGAGGCTCAAGATGGTTATTTTGAAACAACTGCCTCCTTGCTGGAGTGGGTTGAAGGCTTCAGCTGAGCAAAAGCTGTGTTATGGGCAACCGTGCGTCCAGCACCCACTCTCCCTTCCAACCTCTCCCACATGCCACTACTGACAACTTGGTTCTAACTGTGGAAATGATGACCATACCTCTTCAGCCAGCAGGGTCTGGAAGGACTGAGGAGGCTCATTTTTAAACATTGCACTTTAAAAATTGGAACCCGTGAGATGAAGAAAAATCCAATTAAGCGGAAATGAGTTCTGTTTTATTGCCTGCTGCTGAAGGGCTCTGGGCACGCTGAAAGCGAAATAAAAAGCACATCACTGGCTCTCTCTTTCTTGGATTGGTCAATTGGCCCTTTTTGCAGTAGTTGCTCCAACTGTCTCCCACAGTGACAGGAGCCAAAAAGAGAGAGCTCAGCAAAGTCATCCCACCCACACTCTGCTTGGTAGGCCCACGAAAGCACAGTTTCATGCTGCTAGCTCTGGGAGGAGACAGCTGCAGGTCTGGAGGTGTGCCAAGCGTTCCTTTGCTTAGGGAGGCAGAGCTCAGGTGGACAGAGAAGGACACCCCCACTCTCACTGCTGCCCACCTAGAGACAAAATCATTTGTACTCCCTCACTCGAGGACTGCGTGCAGCCAAATGGGCAGGTTCGGGGCTGCAGGATCCCAGATGCTGCTCTGAACTTGCATTCAGACCTCAAAGCACCTGCTCCCCTAAGCTCTGGATTGTTGCCCTCACCCTTCCCAGTGTACATTTTGTACAGTGAAAAGAAATGAAGTCTCATTTGCTGGAAAAAAAGGAAAAAAGAGAAAAAAAAGGACCCACCCATCCTTATTTATTGCCATGTGACTTTGGAACTGAAGCTGGTGCGTTTGTTTGTATATGCCTCCTGTGTGTTGGCATGAGATGTGTATGGTAAAACTATGTTAAATAAATATGGATGTTCTTTAGAAGCTGTGTCTTAGTTTTCATTTAGTTTTCTCTCTTGACCTAAATCAAATGCAAAGCTGTGCTGACATGGGACCCTTTTATCACCAGAAGAAAACCCGAAGTACAACTCCGAATGCCAGAACTACTTACATCCATAAATACCAGAACTGCTCAGTGAAGGGTTGGTTAGAGTTCTCCGATTTCTCTTACAGCCATGTTCTAGGCTATTTACATTTAAACTGCTTAGTATGAAGTGAAACGAAGTTCATTTCAGTCCCTCACACTAGCCATATTTCCAGTGCTCAAGAGCTACGTGTGGCTATGGTATTTGGACACAAATATCAAACATTTCTATCACTGCAGAAAGTTCTACTGGTTAGTGCTGATGGCATCTGGCTCAGCAGCGACAGAGAAAACTCATCCATCACCTCTTTAGTTACTAGTTAACCTGGAGCACTTGGGGACGTATTCTGAGACTCCTCAGACAGTGGTAGTGACAACTGTCACATCTTGTGTGGCTTGTTTAGGTACAAAGCATGAGGCTGGGCTCTGGGCCTCAGTTCTCAGTCTAAGGATGCCACCAGGTTGTCGGGACTCAGTTCCTAAGTTTTAGACTTACTTTGTGCCCCACAGTCAACCCAGTTAAACAGGAAAGGCAGTACCTTCCCAGGCAGGACCTCCACTGAGCTTCTTGGAGGGCTTAAAGGTCTTTCGTGGAGACCCAAATCTCTGCTCTGGTCCCTGGCCGAGTCATCTCCTGTGGTAAATACTTTACAAGGCTGAGAAAGGCAAAGGCCTTACTGGGTATGTGCCAAGGAAGGCTGAGGTTCAGAAGGACCTTACTGGGTGCAAGTGAGGGCGAAGACGAGAGCACCCAATGGGAGCGGGGAGTTTGGGTAGAGCAATAAGGAGGTGCTGCACATGAGGACTTTTGTTTCTTCCCTTGCTCAGTCGCTTGGGTGGTTGTTAGGGAAATTTGCCAAGTGGCTATGAAGGCCTCTGTTGCTACTAAATTTGATTACTTATCTGGGTATTCCCGAGAACTCATAATGGGGCTTGAGAGTTCTGCCAGTGCATGCAGTGGGCTATTGATTCTAACACTGCACACCATGTCTGTAGTCTATTCTCAAACCCTCGTCACAAGCTGTCTCTACTGAGTCTTTGTTTTCCAAACTCTGTCAGTTGCTTTGAGTGTATCAGGCTGACGGTTCATTGGAATGTTTCCACTTGGTGTTCTAGTGCACCCTGATCCCACCACAGTAATCTAGTAGCAACGTTTTGGAATTATCAAATAAGTTCTCAGCTCACAGAGGGAGGGAGGATCGGGTCCTTCTTTCTGGCTCGGTCACTGGAGACCAGCTCCTGAGCACGATTCTCTGACAGAGCCTTTTCAGAAGGACAACTGCTTAAACAAGAATAAAGGAAAGAAATCACCGGCCAGAAAGAATGAAATAAAATTCAAACTCAGGAGAACTGAGGAAGGCACAACAGTCAGTGTTTGCACTGCTTGCCCTGCCTTCTTTCTCCTTGGGGCCAGGATTCCACTCAGCCAAAGTCAGAAAAGGAGCAAAAGAAGATCAAAGGTAAGTCAGTATGTTGTAAATTTTAACCAATTGTCAAACTAGAAGTAAAAATCCTAAAAGGTGATCCTCAAATGTATTTCCTTAGATGTGCTATTTGAGACATAGTTTAAAAATTGTCCTTTACAGTCTAAACAGAAAATGGTTGCATCCCTTTGCCATACCTCTTTAGACGGATGCTATTTCAGTTTGGTCATTTGGAAATAAATCCTCGCCTTCCCTCTGGTCCTCTGCTGGATGTGCAGCGAGCAGTGAGCGGTGGCGCTTGGTCGGGTGCTGGTGTGGGTCACGGCTGCCCCAGAGAAGCAAGCAATGGTTACCACTGCTGCTGAGGAAATACTGTGTTAGGAGGGAGAAAAAACCCAATGTTTATAAAATGGGGCCAAATCACTAGAAAGAGGAAACTTATTACCATCTTTCTAAAAGGAGTAATAAAAAGAATCCATCCAAACTATTAAACAGAGGTCTTCAAATCATCTGCACCTGCCCTGGGAGAGTACATCACCCCCTTTCGGAGGGAGTGGGCTACTGACTGTAACACTTCTTTATAAATTTTTCTTTCCTTTTCTTCTCTCCTTTTTGTCCAATGTGATTTCAGGATTTTCCTTTAGAACCCTTTCCTTTGGCCTCTCCCCCATTAAACACAGACATTGAATGTAGGCATGTTATTAACTGGGATGTTATTCTGTAATTAAATGGACCAGTCACAGGCTGTCCCCGACAGTGCACTTGCTCCCACAGAAGGGGCTCCCAGGGCAGAAACGTTGCCACGTGACTGACGCACACCTTGGGTTATTAGTAACCACCGCATCGGCCAGAACTTCCAGGAACTGCTATCGCTGAAGCTGGGGGAGAGGTTTTGTTCTCTGTTTTTAAAAGATTTATCTTTCTCTCACTTGCTTGCCAACCCTGGACCAGGATCTCCTGTTGCCTGGGAGGGGTTTGGGGATTTTGGAAAGGCTGGGAATTGCTTCCTGAAAGATAAAATACAGACCCCAAAGAGCAGTCTTGGCACACACACTTGGAGTTGGAAATAAAGCAGTTAAAAAAGGGGGAAAAAAAGGCCATTAAAATGGTAAATAGGTTTCAACAGATGGCTCCAGCACAGCAATGGAAAGTCCAGGCAAGGACTTTGGGGTTAAATCTCATATTTTAGTCACCTGGGACTAGCTTATTATTCCAGAAAAACAAACATCTGTCAAGTTGCCAGCTCCCCTTCTCTAACGTGGAGCCCTTGACCACTGTCTGCTCACTGCCAACGGATGGGTAGCCGCCCGCAGACAGCCACCTCGGGAATCGAGAGTTGCTTTTTCGACACCTGTCAACTGCAGGGCTTAAGCTCACTCAGGCTAGAGGAATATGAGAACCAAGAGCTATATTACTGATGGGCCTGGACTTTTATACTCAATATGTGTGCTGGCTCTATTATTTTTTTTAGAATCATTTTAACATTTAATGCTTCTCAATTAAAGTGGTTTCCCTGAGTGGATGCCAAGCTTCGTTTAGAATGCGCATTAACCACTTTCCCCATCGGTAGTTAAAGGCACTGAGGGATTTAAACAGCAATCCACAGGTCTGTTCAGTCAAGGTTTGGCGGAATAAAGCAGATTATAAACAATAATATATGTCTTTCTCTTCTTTTTTTGGAAGGGTTCCAAACTCACAAACGGAGCTAAAGTGCTATAAACATATCCAGGTCTAAGCTTTGGGCTCTACAAATGTACTCCGTGAAAGCCACCGGCCCTGGTGGTGCCACTTTTTATCCCGTGTGTGTATGTGGGCACGTACTTTAAAAGAGTATTTTATTACACAAAGTGTCCATCAACTGAACTTACCTTCTAAGTATTAAAATGGAAACCGGCACTGCTACACAAGCGAGAGGAAAAATAAATCCTGACTGCAGTGTGGGTGATGAATTGGCTGTTGCAGCCCAGGGCAGCCCACTGAAAGTCACCCCTCTGTTCCTTCAGGCCTCACTGCCCCCATGTTCAGCCTCGGCCTTCATAGTGTCAGGTTCAAATGGTCCTTTTCCCACATGTGAGAGAAACCCACCCTTAGTGCCCGGAGTTCCACCATGAGGCAAACGAGTTAATGGGGCCATCACTGAATAGTTCCACTGGGTTT